GCAATGGCGATACCGTGAACTAATTAAAACCCAGAGACCGAAAATAACTGGTCCACATTAAACACATTGTCACTTTTTCTATTATTAACCATTTATTATTTACTTTATGTGATATATCACTGTGAAAGCGTTTTATGTGATTCAGCTTACGGTTAATGACTGTGAGAAATGAAATCGCTACGAAAATAAAGGCCAACCGTAGTTATTTATGCCAATTTTTTTTTTTTTGTTGAAAAGGTGAGTTAGTAAATTTAATTATGCTGCAGAGAAAATATATGATGAAATTGCAACGAAGTAAAATAAACTATAAAGAATAATAAGTACAACTATTTTTATTCATTCAAATAATATTCACGCAGTTTCAATAAAATTGTATACACTCAGAAAAATACACATGTACATATGTATGTTTAGATTGGGTATCACAGATAATGGTATAATGAAGCCTAAAAGCTTTACAACGAAATCGATGTGATACGCGATCAATGTACAGCGGTTGCGCGGGCAAAGCCATGTTGGTTGTTTAAAAAGAGGGTGTAAAATTCTTTAAAAGATGGAAAATATTCATAATATGAATTATGTAATCATGCATAACAACCATCAACGTCCTCATTCAGTTCACGATTTATCCACATACATATGTATGTACATATAATGTCCATTTTTAAAATACATACTTATGTGCCCATGTTCACGTGGCCACTCTGTATGACAAGTTTTTATTTGTACAAAACGATATTTTCATTTCCCCAATACCAGGCGCTCATACAAGTGAAGTATCAAGCATGATACAATAATTTTTAGAAGGTAGTTTCACTTAAAAATTTTTGACATAACCCGTGTCTGTGACAAACACGCAAGTTAGCCACTGGGGGATTTTCGCTTGTTATTTTAGATATTTTTTAAAAGAACATGTAAAGTTTTATATGTTTCATAACTGATCACTTCATTTTTAATACATACATTTTTGCCACCGCTAATCACATGAATAAAAATCATAAAAATAAAAATATAACGGCAATATTTCATGTTTATAATGGATTAGATCCATCGCACACCACGGACTTTATCGGCCGCCGATTTAGTTGGGCGCGCTAGTCTTTCCATTGCACAACAACTAATTGGTCGGAGCGATTAAGCTGGTGTAGGTACTGTGCGCACCTCCATACATATTTCAAGCGAGCCCTACTATTTAAATAGGCGGCCGATAAAGTCTGTGGCGTGCGGTGGCTCTGATAGCTGCATCCTTACATCTATTCCGTGTGTTGCAATATCCACGGAGGCAGCAGTTAATTTTATTTGTTTTATTTTTCCAAAGTCAAAAGCTGAATTTTTTTTGAAAAAGTTGGTACAACAAAAAATACGAAACACGTACGAAATTGTTTCCATAAATTTTTAAATTTCCAAAATTCTGCTATGTAAAGTTTAAATGCCTCTACAAAAAAAAACATAAAAATTAAAAAGTTCTCCAAACAAATTTATGCGTATAGAAAGCCTGCTACTTCATATATATGAGCGCCTGGTATTGGGAAATAAAAATATCGCTTTGTACAAATAAAAAATTAGTTCGTTATATACAATTGAGCGCAAGTTTCCTTTACCGATATGCAGTTGGCTTTTAAAAGCATGGACTGAATATCTAAAGCTGTTAAGTACTTTTGGTCATAGATAATGCTTTACCAATTTGTAGCAGTGGTGGATAAGCAAAAGCATCGACTATTTTCTACTATAAAGATTTTCTTTTAGTGTCGAGGCATTTTTTTTTTCAGTGTACTATTGAATGATCACAGGTGTTTGCATTCAACCAAAATTTACAATCACGATGATTGCGAGTGCATCTATTACATTCACATTCTACACTGAATGGAACTCTACCATTCAATAACACATTACGTTTATTTTTGTTTCAAAATAATTTAAGCCACTCAGGAATGAGGTTTTTTTTTATACAACCGATCAAAATTTTGAGTGAATGCAGGTCTTACTGATTCAATCATTTTACAGCTCTGCTACTTGAATACCGTTGCATTTAAAACAAAAAACTAAAACAAAAGGTTAATTCGAAATGTAAAATAACATCAAATCAAATAAAAGTCAAACCAAATCATCCAAACGAAATATTGTTTTGAAATTATTCAGTAGAGACGAAAAATATCATTTTGCATCAAAAACTAAATTTTTGGAAAAAAGTGGACTTGGCCACCTTTAGGTAACGACATGTATTCTTTATATAGACAATTTGACTAAATTTTTGTCCACGTTACAGAGTAGTCAATGTTAAAACAAAGGCTGTTCATGATAAGCGGTGTTCACATAATTGCGAGAACACTGCACTTATGTATGTATGTATATTTATGTATATGTACATATGTACTTATATTTGTATGTATGTATACATAGTTAAATTAGCGTTTGCGCTACCCATTTGTTTATAATTTCTTTTCTACACACAACTCCTGTTGTGGCAAATTCATTCCCTAAGAGATAGTGCGATATGCTATCTGTAGCGTAAAATACAGCTCACCTCGTCTACATTAGAATACATACATAATTAAGTTTTTATGTATGCGGCCGCTATGGCTGAGTGGTTTGAGGTGCGGACTACCACTCTGTAGGACCTGTGCTCGATACCTGACCCAAACAAAGCTTCTCATAAAACCATTTGCCGTCGTTCGGAGGCAGCGTAAAATTGTAGGTCCCTCCATTTGTGTTATGACTTCAGGACGCACACCACAAATTGGGTGAGAAGCTGGGCCAAAGACTTGGCAAAAGTGTAAGCGCCAAAATACTATTATTATCTATACACGTACATTAGAGTGGTCCAAAAAGAATTAAAGTCGGAATTTTAATGCTCTCAACCCCTAGGATTGTTCTATATTGAAAAAATATACCCCAATTTTCTTTTGTTTAATTTGAAATCAAAAAATATTTAGAGGGTGCTCAAAGCGCTCAGAGTTTCCCGAAAAAATACGAAAAAAATAACTTTTTGTAGAAATGGTATGGAATTCTCGAAAATCAATATATTTCGATCAGAAAACTTTATTTCTTTTCAGGAGACTGCCAAAAATAATACCCAATTGTTTATTTATCCATTTTTTAATACTAAAGATTTTTAATTGGTCCCCCATTGCATTTTATCCGGATTTTGGCGGACCTATGAAATATAGTTACTATGAAAAAATTTTTAAATAAACAATTTGTTATTATTATTGGGCATCTCCTGAAGATAAGCAGAGTTTACCGATAGAAAAATATTGATTTTATCGTGCTCTATACCCTTTCTACGAAAAGTTGTTTTTCCCCATATAAAATATGTACATGGAAAAGTTCGAGCGCTTTGCGAGACCTCTAAATAAAAAAATATGGCTAAAATTTTTTGGTATGGAACAAGCTGCAAGAGCATTAATATTCCGACTTTACTTGTTTTTTTTTGTACCACCCTAATGTACACGCATATGCATATACAAACACATATACTACGAACTAATATCGAAATATTAATGAGCAATTCCATAGTGCTCCAGCAATTAGGCAGCATTTCCAACTCAATCTTAGATGAAATTACATACGTATTTGCAAAAGATATGTTTTGTTTGTAAGCATTTATAAGCAAAACAGTTTATAAATAACGAAAACGCTGTACGGTAGCTCAATTCGTTGTTTCCATTTGAATATTCTCGCCACAATTTTGCGCACTTAGGAAAGTAACTACTGATATCATCCGGAAAACTTACTTTCGGGACAAAAAAGATGAAGTGTTCCTATATAATTATACTATCTCTTGCCCTCGTACATAGCTACAGCCTGGGAAAGAGCCTCGAAGTAGGTATTGATTATATATGTCTATGTACACACATTCACATATGCACGTAAATATATTCTTTTTCTATCATTGCAGCAACAGACAGGCGCATATAGCTTCCCGGCAATTTGTCGTAATCAAAATGGCGTTCTTATACCCATGCCGGGATCCTGCGCAGGTTTTTTCATTTGTGTCGATGGCCATGCCATAGCTAGCTCATGTGGCGGATTCTATCACTTTAATGCCCGCACCGGACTTTGCGATCATCCGCTGAAAGTCGGCTGTTCCAGCAACAATCCACCAATCGAAAATGCAATATCTGCAACAACATCAGCAATAACTAAGTTGGTTGCTCGTCCATCGTTGCCGAAACCGAAAAGTCCCAATGAAGTAATCGCCGATCTGAGTGCTGGTGCAATCTGCAATAACCTGCCAACCGGTATACTGCTGCCTAAATCGAACTCGTGTACGCAATACTATGTGTGCATATATCAGCGACCTTATCGCCGGACTTGCCCTCCAATGTTGCATTTCAATGCAACACGTGGCCTATGTCAGGACCCGACGATGGCCCGTTGCGTCATTCCATTTGATTTAAACAAGCTGGACCGTCAACCAAATGGAAAAACGGAAACGGTGAATGATTTTGAGAAAGGCAAACTGACTAAGGATGCTATATCGACTGACATCGATGACAGCCACGTAGATAATATTTGCGCTTCGAGTAATGATGGGACTTTGCTCCCCTACCCGGGCGATTGTAGCCGGTTCATTTTCTGTATGCGCGATCAAGTTTTGTCATTATTTTGCCCAGAAGGATACCAGTTCAGTCCACGATATGCACGTTGTGAACGGCCTTCAATTGCAGAATGTGCCGGACTCTCTAGATAATGAAAAAAAAAACATTTTTCCTTGCATTTATATCAATTGAGAAATAAAATTTAATAATTTCAAAGATTGTTGACGTTAGTTGAAGATATTTTGTTGTTGGGAAAGGTTTTCGCACTTTGACGCTCAAAGAGCTATAATTTGGCCTAACATATTTTATGTACGCTTTGATTTTGAAGGCTTTTACTACATTCATGTACATGTTTATTTCACAAAAAGTACATATGTATGTATTTATGTATTACATATGTATGTATGTATACCAATTACCAATTAATGAGTTAACAACCGAAACTTGTGGGCCAATCACAGACCCCTAACTTGACATTAAACATCAATTGAGATGAACAACTGCGTTTCACCTCGCACTCACATTGGCATACAATGTAGTCGGAGCTACACGCATCCGTTTCGCTAGCAAAGGAGGTGCCATCAGGTTGACCCACGCAGCGTCCTCCAGTTTCACAATAAGTTCCAGACGGGCCAGCCGAGGGCCCACTTGGTGGGGCTTGGGGCCATGTACAGTTCACATTATTCGGATAGTCACATTGCCCAGTCGCCGAATTGTATTGCAAATTATTGGAGCAAGTAAATATATTTTCTTTTCCGCCCACGCAAACTACGAATTTCTGGCAATTACCTTCCAGAACGTGAGTATAGCCTTCAGTTGTATTGCAACATGTTGGATCACAGTCGATAGTTCCTCCTGTGGGTGCAGGTATTGTTGGTGTTGGCAAGCCCGAGGAAGTAGACCCATCTGTGGGTGTTGGAGACACTTCTATGGGTGTTGGAGAAGGAGAGTCAGACGTAGGAGTTGGCGACGCATCTGTGGGCGTAGGAGTTGCTCCTGTAGGTGTTGATGTGCCTTCACTAGGCGTGGTAGAGTCTGCCGTAGAAGAGCCTCCAGTAGGTGGAGGCGAGTCGCCAGTTGTCGTAGGAATTGGCGAGGCATCTGTAGGTGTAGGAGACGCTCCTGAAGGTGTTGATGGGCCTTCACTAGACGTCGGAGAGTCTGCCGTAGGCGTTGCTCCTGAAGGCGTTGATGAACCTCCAGAAGGAGTAGGAGAGCCGCTAGAAGGCGTAGGAGAGTCCGCCGTAGGAGTTGGCGAGGCATCTGTGGATGTAGGAGATGCTCCTGAAGTTGTGGATGAGCCTGGACTAGGCGTGGGAGAGTCAGCCGTAGGAGTTGGCGTAGAAGACCCGCCTGAAGGCGTTGATGAGCCGCCAGTAGACGTAGGAGTTGGCGAGGCATCTGTAGGTGTAGGAGATGCTCCTGAAGGTGTTGATGAGCCTTCACTGGGCGAGGGAGAGTCTGCCGTAGGAGTTGCTCCCGAAGGCGTTGATGAGCCTCCAGTAGGTGTAGGAGAGCCGCCAGTAGGCGTAGAAGAGTCCGCTGTAGGAGGTGGCGAGGCATCTGTGGATGTAGGAGATGATCCTGAAGGTGTTGATGAGCCTGAACTAGGCGTGGGAGAGTCAGCCGTAGGAGTTGGTGCAGGAGACCCTCCTGAAGGCGTTGAAGAGCCTGCAGTTGATGAAGGAGAATCGCCAGTAGGCGTAGGAGAGTCTGATGTAGGAGTTGGCGAGGCGTGAGTAGGCGTAGGAGAGTCGGTTTCAAGAGGTGGCAAAGCATCAGTAGGTTTAGGAAGACCTCCTGAAGGTGTTGATGAGCCGCCACTAGGTGTGGGAGAGTCCACTGTAGGAGTTGGCGAGGCATCTGTGGATGTAGGACATGCTCCTGAAGGCGTTGATAAGCCTTCACTAGGCGTGGGAGAGCCTTCCGTAGGAGTTGGCGTAGAAGCGCCTCCTGAAGGTGTTGATGAGGCATCTGCAGGCGTGGCCGAGCTTCCATTAGGTGTAGAAGATTCGGCAGTAGGCGCAGGAGAATCAGCTGGAGGAGTTGGGGAGGCATCAGTAGATGTAGGAGAGCCAACGGTAGGTGTTGGCGAGTCTACTGTAGGCGTATGAGATTCCCCTGTGGGGGTTGGGGAACTAATGGTAGTCGTTTTGCATGGGGTGGCTGTTGGGGTACTGGGACTTTGTGGCGCTGTTGAGATTGTTGCAGTTGAATGGAATGAAGGCGTAGATGTTGGACTTGGCGTTTCACAAGGAGCCTCTGTTATTGGGGAAGTTGGAGCCGAAGGTGATGTTGAAGTTGAAGTATCGCAAGGCACACTAGTTGGGCAACATACACTGCAATCACATTCGCAACTAGGTTTCACAAGAGATCTTTCCATGGCACATCCGGCCCGGGATGGATAGTCGCATACCGCCTCTTCTGCATTAAAATGCAATCCACTTGGACAGCTTTGAACCCGACCAAACCATGTCTTAACACATATTACAAATTTGGAGCATTCCAAAAAATGGGGGTGTCTGCTACCGATTATCGAATTAGTGCACCTTGGTTCGCTCACATAATTCGCCTCCACGCTTAGCACCAAGACTGCTAACGTTATAACTGCAATAACAATAATCCAATTAGATCGGCCAATGTAGAACTTTCAAAAATGCTTGGCGACTGAAACAAACCTTTTAGCATTCTGCGATGGTTAAAATATGGTCTGCTACTGTAACTTCCGTTTCCACTAAACAAAACACTATGGTGGCCTCATAGCTAGTCCATTCTATTTATATAGGTCGAAAAACAATGCTTAATTGCAATTAAATCATAATTGTTTTTGATTGCATTCAACTAGGAAATACCGCCTACATGTACTATGTATACTCAAACATACATACATATGTATGCAAGTGCAACATGTGTGTTTATTGTTAAAGACTACCTTATCGAACCATATCGATTCGGCCACAGCATCTGTGGTAGTTATCAAAATGTTCATCATTGTTTTTGCAATTTTTTGATAAAAATCTTCTTTACTACAGTGGCTCTTCTCATTATTTCGCCTGAAAAAAAGCAGTTTGCAAATACCCATTACGTTTTGAAAAAAAAGTGCAGCTAATATGGGCTTTTTATAAAATAGTACTTAATTCTGTCAGCAAAAAAAAAAAAAAAACTTAATTTCATTCAGTAGTCTTTATTATTAATATTTTTTATTTAATATCATTTTCATTATCTACGCTTAAGATTTCACTAAGCCCGATATTACTTCAAGTAAAACCCTAATTGCTAATTGAACTTATTTTACGTAAATGCATTTACATGCATACGTATGTATGTGCATATGTTATAATAATAATAATAACATTTTGGCGCTAACACTGTTGCTAAGTGTTTGGCCGTAGAGCTGCAAAACTATCGATAGTGACGCCATTCGATAGTTTGAAAAATACTATCGATATTTTTGATAGTATCGTATACTATCGTGTTGTATATGTAGGGAATCTTCAACTCCGAACAAAATGTGTATAATATATACATATGTACATATGTAAATATAAATATTGCACATATTTAAGTATATATAAATATTACATCTTAGCGTGAAATTCTAAATATTTTCATAAGTTCAACTCGCCAGCGTTCTTTATTGAAGTAAAGGTCAATAAATCTTAATGCATCGGCCCTATTAAAACTATCGACTATCGCCCGAAAACAATCGATGTTTTTCCAAAAATAAAACTATCGATAGTACAATCGATAGTTTTGCAGCTCTATTTGGCGCTTTTAGGAAAAAACTATGTTGGAGTTAATAAGTCAAAATTAAAAATATATATATATGTCGTTACCTTCCTAGTAGTTACGCACAATGGACAATTCTGTCTCCAAGTGAAAGTATGGAATATTCCACACATTTTTGTTTCTTGATGAAAAGAAAAACTTAATCAAGGCGAATTCATATAAAGGTGGTAGCGGTAGTACAAAAACAAAAACTACATTTGTGTTTTGTTTTCGCTTTCGGTACACAATTGTCAAATTTCTGCTATTCTTCTCTCAAGGAGGAAGAGGGACAGAAAACTCTTACTTACGCACTCACTCATAAGTAGTTTTGATATATGTGTACCGCGGCGAATTAAAGCAGCTGTTCTAGCAACACCACCTAATATGAATTCGCCTTGAAAGTAATAGAAATTCAGGTTGCTTGGTTCCGTTTTTCGTTTGAACACGATTTTGGTTGAAGACTGTAGCAACTTTTATGCTGCAGTAGTTATATTAAAATTCGTATAAGACTTTAGTGAGTAACCTATTGACTCTCGCACAAAACTGGATTTTAAAAGAAAATCATTCAGGACCTTTTTATACCCGAGCGCACTTATACCTTTGTTCACATAACGGTTGTTTGTAACAGGCAAAACGAATCGAGATAGATATAGACAAATATATACATAAATGATCAGAATGAAAAGAGAAATCGATCAAGCGGTGACTGTCTGTCCGTCCGTCCGTCTGTGCACACGATAACTCGAGTAAAAATTGAGATATCTTAACGCAACTTGGTACGTGCAGGCGTAGGACGGACCACGCCTACCTCCCATATAACGGTAGTTTTCAGAAATAAGAAAACTGCGATATTTTAGTTACTACTGAAGCTTATTCGCTCAAAATTTACATATATTTACAATTATTTTTAGGAATATTGTAAATATTTGAAAAATGGGCGTAGCCTTGCTTACTTATGATTATATGTATATATCTTTGTAACCGCGCCACCAATTTCTCCCAAACTTACCGGACAATAACTACGCCCTAGGATGTGGGTAATTGAGAGAAATATGAAATCTTCGATAAATAAGTAAATACTAAAGCTAATTTATTCAAAATTATGCTTGCAATAATTTTTTACCAAGAAACACATGTATGATAACATTTTGGAAAATGGGCGTGGCACCGTCCACTTATGATCACATATATGTATGTATCTCGGTAACCGTTCTACCATTTTGTACCAAACTCGGCATGGTTATTGTGCTTTCCACATAAAAGCAAAACGTTGAAAACTATTGAAATCGGACTAAAATTACATACAACGGTAAATTTGAGAAATGCTTGAAATTTCAATATTTTGAAATTTAAGGACGCTAATTTATTCAAAATGGATACTAACAACAATCCGTTGAAAATAAGTAACATTATTTGGAATTTTGAAAAATGGGCGTGGCACCGCCCACAAATGACTATATAACTTTATCTCATTATATCTAACTGAACGTCCTATCGCTTACCATCTATCGGTAGTTTTCGGAAAGGTGAAAAACATATATTTAATACTTGTGTCGGGTATTTAATGTTCGGCTCCGCCCGAACTTAGACTTGCCTACTTGTTGATCCATCTTAACCATTTTTAATTCGCTTTTATTTAAACAACCACGTGTGACTAGTGTCATACTGTCATCTTATTTTTATTCAATATTATTTGACAGTTCATCATAAAAACGGTACTACCCCAACACCGCTTTCTTAAACAACTAATGCCAGTACCGTGTCATCGTGTGATATCACACCTCTGGATTACTTTCTTTGGGGTTATGTAATAAGCCAGCTGTAATTCGAAATTTGGAAGCCAACATCACTCGCGTAATTCACGATATACCGGTAGCAATGCTGGAGAGTAATTGAAAATTGGACCTTCGAATAGACCACCGGCAGCTTAGCCGTTGCCAACATTTGAATGAAATTATTTTTAAAAAGTAAATTTCTGAGACTGTTCTTTTGGGTAATAATAAAGCTTCCATTTTCCAGTTCTGTTTTTAATATTTTATTTAAAATTAAAAAAGGTTTAGATGGATCACCCGTTAGTATCTTCACTCAGTGCATGTAAAATGTAAAACCACTGAAAATAGACATGGGTTTAGCAGATAACTTTTATTTATGAATTTACACACTCGAATATTTGTAAATATATATGTATGTAAGTATGTATGCAACCCATTTGTCTAATATGATATTTTAACATCTGTCGATCTAAACGAAGGCCATGGGCCAGTCACATACGTTCACATTCGGATTAAATACTAAACCACCCGGGCAAGGCATAGAAATCTCACATTCGCATTGACATACTATATAGCCACTTGATTTAGGATCTGAAAACAAAGTGCCATCTTTCTGACCATCACACTTGCCCTTATTGTTACATACGGTTCCCGATGGGCCGGTTGACGGTATGATGGGTTTTTGATCGCCAGAGCTTGGCCAATCGCAAACTTTCAGCACTGAGTTAAATATTAAGCCAGAAGGGCAGGGCATTGGAATTTCACATTCACATTGGCAAACTATATAGCCATTTGAATCGGGATCTGAGAACATGGCACCATCTGGTTGATTATCACATACACCTTTGTTATTACAAGTTGTACCTGATGGACCCGTAGCAGGGCCACTTGGTGTTGAAGGCTTGGCTGACGTGCTTATATCAGGAAGTGTTGTCGATGTGTTAGAAGTCGAAGAAGGGACGGAAGATGTTGTTGTGACACTTGATGATGAAGATGTATCTGAAGGATTGGTGCCACTTGTGCTAGTAGATGTATCTTGTGTCGAAGTGTTCATTGCTGTCGAAGAAATGTCCGAAGATGTCGTAAAACTTGTGACTGTTGGAGTAGGAGAAGTGTCTGGTGTGGAAGATTCTGTTGGTTTTGTGGAAGTGTCCGAAGGAAATGTAGCACTTGTAGTTGAGGCTGGAGGAATATCTGGTGTCGAAGATGCTGTTGGTGTTGTGGAAGTGTCGGAAGGAAATGTAGCACTTGATGTTGAGGATGTCTCGGAAGTAGTAGATGTGACAATCGGTATTGGAGATGTGTCCGAAGTTGAGTTTGAAGATGCGTCTGGGGTAGACGAGTCCGTAGGCGTTGATGAAGTGTCAGTGGTAGATGCAATGGTTGCTGTCGAAGATGGAACGGAAGTTGGTGTTGTAGTAGTTGGTGTACTCAAAGTTCCTGAAGTGCTTTCCGGCCAATCGCAAACTTTCAACACAGAATTAAAAATTAAGCCAGAAGGGCAAGGCATTGCAATTTCACATTCACATTGACAAACTATATAGCCGTTTGAGCCAGGATCAGGAAACATGGCGCCATCTGGTTGACCTTTGCATACGCCTTTATGGCTGCAATTTGTGCCTGATGGGCCAGTTAATGGTTGATATGGTAATGCAGGAGCATCGGGCGTTGAAAGCGCAGCAGGTAAGGATGCAGCATCTGGGACTGAGGACACATCAGGACTCGGTATTTTATTGCAACAGCCGCAGCAGTCACCGCAACATTCACTTACTCTTGACTCTATCCCGAGGCTTGGTAACACCAAGGCTACATCACATCGAGCGCGTTGCTTGAAATCACAAACTCCAAGACGTCGATTGAAGTGCAATCCACGGGGACATTTCCCAACCGAGAACATCCTTTGGCCCTTACAAATTACAAACCGATCACACTGAATGGCATGAGATAAGCGTGTGCCATCCTCTAGACCTTCGCAAGGATCTTTTACGGCCTTGCAGTTCGCATACAGCAGCCATACAAGAATTCCATAAAACACTGCAATAATAGTGTCAGTTTGAATAAACGGAGCTAGGAGCAGAAATCCTTAAGTACATACCGTTTCGCATTTTTATTGTATATTGAGATGCAAAGTGCCCCGGAAATCTTTAAAGACTGATCGGTTTCTTTTCACGGCGGCAACATAATATAAGCAATTCTCGGTTTAATCAATGTAAGAGTTATCGCGAGCAGGTAGTAAGTTAATTAAAACTAAATAAAGACCTATTTTGCAATATGTATTAAGTTCTTTCTTTTGTATCAAATATGGTATACATACATACGTACATAGATTTGTATGCTTATAGTGCAATAGTCAGAAGCTGTCTTTTAATTGTAGACTTCTTTTCGGTTAACTGTAGGGATGTATGTATATATTCCATGGAATAAATGGCATATGTACAAATTTGTGTGTATTTTCAAGCAATCTTATCACTACAAAATGGAATTTTATTCAAACATTTAATTTTTGCAATTTTAATTAAAGCAAAAAGAGAAATTGCAGTGTTTGGCCTTCACCGAATGATTGCTTTCGTTTTGATGAATAACTATGTATCAGGGTTGTTGCGAATATTCGCATTCGCTTTCGCATTCGCAGTAATCAATGCGGAGCTTTTGCGAATGCGAATGTTGGCAAAGTGACAAATTGTAGCCAATAGTTTTTGCCTGTGGTCGCGTGGCCCGGGCACCGCACATGGGAATATTTGTGTAAACAAACTGGTCAAATGCCATATTTATCAACTTTGATAAAAAATGTCTTTAAAGTTTAAACATATTATTTCTTAAGCCATATAACCGAGCTACCAGTGGACAGTCATACATGTTCGCACTTCTACTTGACCTTTGACGTACGTCAAAGAGAACATTGTCCTTTTAATGATATTCTTTTTTCTGTGCTTTAAATACCTCTCTCTTTCTTCATTCTGATTTTTTTGGACCAATCCTAAAAAAGCTACTAGACTTAAAAACTAAAAAATTAGATTGTCGTAATTTGCTTTTGATATATTCGTTTCAACCATTTCAAATGGGGCTCTTTGGAGAATTTATTTGTAGGAAAAATTTCAAAAACAGTAATTTTGTTCACTTGGCGGGCAATATCTTTTTCATAGAGATATACATTGGATCCTTGGATAATAAAAACTTCTTGGTAAACCCCTACGTTTTCCTTCTTTGCTATTTAAAGTCAAAGATTAAGGTCCTTCAGTAGGGATTTTCAGCAGAAATGGTGAACGTTTGGCTATAAAGAGAATCGATGCTCAAACAATTAAAAAGCTATAGGTCTGACCTTTTATTAGGTAAGAATTACGTAACTACCTGAGACCCTCACCATCCGTCACGAATTTGAAAACAGAATTTTGTTCAAAATTTTCATTCCTGGAAAATAATAAGCACAAATTTTTCAAACTAGTCGCAAAAGAATGCATTAAAAATAAATTACAAGTAATTTTTAGCAAAAAAAAAACCGACTTAAAAAAAAATATATATATATATATTTCATAATCCAATGATCGGATCTAAACCAGATTAGTATGGAACCACCTCTGAGAAACTACCTTTCCGATGCAAAAATCGGTTGACGTGGTCCAAAGTTATGCGGTTATATACATAAAAAAAAAATATTGCGACGAACTGATAACCTCCTCCTTTTTTGGAAGTTGGTTAAAAACTACTGATGAACGCTAAAAACTCTGAGACGTTACAGGTTCCCCAAATTCTGAAACAGCCAAAGGAATGAGAATGAAGAGTACTAAATAAAAAAACATTAAAAATTACAATTTTGTAATTTTTCTATTTACCTAAATAACTTAATTTATTTACTTAATTTAATTGTTTGTTAAAAATACTTGACGTCCGCATTCGCATTCGCATCCGCAGACGTCTAAAATTCCACATTCGCAACATCCCTACTATGTATTTATGTATGTACATAAATATATGCATAGATCAGAACAAATATCGCTGATTAAGAAATTTAATTTGTGTGCGAAAATTTTCATATGCACATACATACATGGGTATGAAGATATGGCTCATTTGCTAAAAACTGTCACATCCGCTCGAATGGTGCACCTGAGTTATACTGCTTCATCTGACCATGACTCCTGGATTTCGGGCCTTTAGCTGGAATACACTCCGCGCAGTTAGCAATACACTCTGTGACCGATTGCCGACAACCAACCCAATAGAACCCCTGTTTTATCTTCTCCAGGGTCTTCGTGATTCCCAGGTGCCCTCCACTAGGACCATTGTGGAATTCCTTGGGTACATCCGGAATTCTTACCCTTAGTACTACTATTAGGTTGCGGGAGCACGGGCCATCTTCACTTTCCCATACCCTGTGCAAACAGCCTTATATTAGTTTTAAGCATTTCCACCAGTACGCCTTTGCGATGAGGCTTTCCGCTGCCATTTGCTCCTTAGTTGGCTTTCTGTCTACTTCCAGTCCGTGCATCAAAAGATCTGGATCTTCCTGCTGACACTTTCGTAGCTGTTCTTCCTTCCACTCTTCCGCTGGTGTTATTGTCGTTAGCCGGACGTTTATAATGTCTTCTTTGCCCTCAGATTTTGAGCAGTATTTACATTCCAGGCTACATGGTCGACGGGACATGGCATCAGCATTTCCGTGGACACTTCCCTTGCGATGCTCAATCGCGAAGTCATAACTTTGCAGTCTCTTAATCCACCGAGCTAGCTGTCCTTCTGGATTCTTAAACTGTAGTAGCCACTTCAGCGCTGCATGGTCCGATCGAACTCGGAAACGTTGCCCATAGAGGTACTTGTGGAAATGTTTGACGCACTCCACCAACGCTAGTAGTTCTCTCCGAGTTACGCAGTAGTTCCTCTTTGGTTTTCCAATCGACCGGCTATAGTAGGCAACTACCTTCTCCGGCCCATCAATTAACTGCGACAGTACGCCTCCTATGGCATAACCACTAGCACCCGTATGCAAAATGAACGTTGCACCTGGAACGGGATACGCTAGCATAGGTGCAGTACATAGCCGTTCCTTCAGAGTCTGGAAAGCGTCCTCCTGCTTCTTGATCCACTCGAAGGCTTTATTTTTCCTCGTGAGCTCGTAGAGGCTATTAGCAACGCTGGCGAAATTCGGAACAAATCGGCGATAGTAGGTACATAGCCCAAGAAAACTTCGTAGTTCGTGCAGGTTCCTAGGTCTTGGTTAATCCTTTATGGCTTCTATCTTTTACTTCGCAGTACAGACGCCCTCCGTTGTCACCTTGTGCCCTAAGTAGTTCACCTCCTTTTTGAACAGTGAGCACTTTTTAGGACTTAGCTTCAGGCCAGCGCCAGCTATCCTCTGGAAAACTTCCTCTAAATTGTTAAGGTGTTCCTCGAAGCTTTTACCCAATACAATAATGTCGTCTAGATACACCAAGCAGGTTTTCCAATGCAGTCCCTTAAGCACATGGTCCACAAGCCTTTCAAAAGTGGCAGGAGCGTTGCATAATCCAAAGGGCATCACCGTGAATTACCGCAGACCGTCTCCAACGCTGAAAGCTGTCTTCTCCTTGTCCCCGTCACTTACCTCCACTTGCCAATAACCGCTCTTAAGGTCGAGTGTTGAGAACCACTTTGTTCCAGTCAACGAGTCCAGAGTGGCATCGATTTTTCGTGACATCGTTTAGTTTCCGGTAGTCTACGCAGAACCGCATTTGACCATCCTTCTTCTTCACAAGTACTACCGGCGAACTCCATGGACTCGCTGATGGTTCAATCACACCACTCTCGCTCATTTCTTTCATTATTTGGCTTACAGCTTCATGTTTGGCAAGTGGAACACTCCGAGGAGCTTGACGGATCGGCCTTGCATCACCGGTAGCAAGGCGATGTTTCAGAACATTAGTCCTGCCTGGTTTGTTGCCGTCCTTGTCGAATATGTTGGAGTATCTGCGGAGAAGTTCCTTAGCCTTGACTGGTATTTTTCTTCCAACCCTTCCGTCCAAGCATTTATGTCTTCCGCAATGTCATTCTCACCAACAGTTGAAGATTGCCTCTACCTTTCGACATTGTCCCAGTACAGTTCCTCTTCGGAATTTAATTGGTGATTTGAATTCATTAAGTACTCGCACTGGCATGCGTCCATCTTAGCCAGGGTTTTACTAATAAGAACGTCCGGTGTAGAATTTTGTGTTGCTTCAACAACCCACAATTTGTTTCTCCCACAATCTCCATCAATCTTCGCCCAAACAACTGCTTCTGACTTCGGTGGAATCTGCTCGCTTTCCTCTAGGATCACTCGCTTGCTGCTATACGGTTCATTATACCCAAATCTAGGGGGCACTTCCATATTGTTATACGTCATAATCCTGTTCTTCATGTTGATCTGCATACCTTGATCAAGTAAGAAGTCTATTCCAATGATGACTTCATCCACAATCGCCGTGACTATAAACTTGTGTAACACCGTCACATTCCCTATTGTGACTTTGCATGTTCTCTCCTTGAACTTGGGTGTCCTCACCAGTTGCTGTCCTCAACCTTGCTCCAGGTAATGGCCTTACCTCTTTAGTGACCAAATTAGATCGAATGATGGAATGTGAAGTGCCCGTATCCACAGTTAGTACTGGCTCATGTCCGTCCACATATCCGCCAACAGTGACGTTGCTCGCTTTTCTGGCAATTCGCGAGACGGAGATTATGGGGCATTCATATGCGGGAGCCAGCGTGTGCCCCTTGCTGCTGGCTCGTTTTAGTTTAACGACTGACTGGAGTTGGATTCGTCTCCTTCAGCTCTGCGTTTGCGTTCTGCTGAATTGTTGAGCCCACTGGAACTTCCGCAGCAATCGCGGGCGAAGTGGCCTGGCTTTCCACATTTAAAACATTTGCCAGAGCCATGCTTTTTCTGCCCAGCAGTTGGATAATCTTGTTTAGTATTTAATTTGTTTCGTCCGGTGTTTCCACTTCCACGCGATGTGCTTTGTACGCTGATCTATTAAGGAGTGCCGCCGTTTCACGTGTCTGAGCATACGAAACCGTTTCAGCAAATGTTGGCTTTGGATTAGCGTATGTTTCTCGCTTGTTATACACGCCCCGCATTCCGTTAATGAACCTCTGGATTTTTACCCTTTCGAGGTGCTCACCAGATGCGTCTCCAATAGCCGAGTGAGCCAACTTCTCGATCTCTGAGACGAATTCTTGTAGAGTCTCATTGGGTTTTTGGCAGCGGTTCTCCAACTCCATCTGGTAAATCTGTTTCCTGTGCTCGCTACCATAACGTCTTTCCACTGCACCCATTAACGCACCGTAACGTTTCCTTTCGCAATTAGGAATAGTCTGCAAGATTTCCGCTGCAGGTCCTTTCAATGCAACGAACAGAGCAGCGGATTTATCCTCCATGTTCCAGTGATTTGCTGTAGCTGTCTTCTCAAACTGGAGCTTAAAGACCTGGAAAGGCATCGTGCCGTCAAAGGATGGAGTTTTTACCTTGGGAGCGTTCGTCGAAGCGGCTGGACGATTCAACTGCAAGTCTCGGAGTCGACCTTCCAACTCGCCCATCTTAGCCTCGACTTTGCCCTGTCTCTCTTCGATTTTTTCCTTCATTTGTGCAATCTTTACATCCTGTGCTTCTAGTTGTGATGACATCTGCTCTGATACCGCTGATTATATACAGTGTCTCCAGCGCTTGTATCTGCGATGAAACATCTGACGACAACTGCGACCTTTGTGCTTCAAGCCGTGTTTGCATCTGAGATGACAGCTGTGATGGCATCTGTGACATGCGTGTATCCTGTACTTGCATCTGCGATGATAGCTGTGATGACATCTGTGACATGGCAGCCAATAACGTGTTCATGTCCATAGCTGTTGATGAACTAGGATCCTTTTGCTGTTCTTCAACCTTCCCGGATGTCTGCTGCACATCCTTCGACGAACAAGCAGCCTCATCCTTCTGTTCGTCCTTTGCGGATGCATCGTCGGGTTTACCCTGGAAGTCGTATTTGTCCACGTCGATGCCTTCAGCTTCCATAGCCTCTCGCAACCGGGATAACAATTCCACTTTTCTTTCCTTCGGGATTTATTTATCAATCCCACTTCTGACACCAATTGTTACGATTATCTTCGAAACCTTGTGACAGCCTATTCTCCTTACCGCGCACACAACCGCGGTTGTCAAAAAAGTAGATTCCCAACAAGGTCCTCATGTCGCTCGCCGGCTGCACCTGGGGCAAAGACAAAGGAGCAGGCAACATACAAGGCAATTGGCCGCCCGGTTCTAAACTATGCTTCGCCTGTTTGGTCGTCGGGCACTAGTTGGACGCAGTGGTCGAAGCTTCAGACATGTAGAAACGCCGCACTCCGTGCGACAACAGGCTTCCTTTTGAGCACCACCTGTATAGTCTGAGCACCACCTGTATAGCGAGGCCCAAATATTTGCCGTAAGGGAGCATAACAAAGTGCTCAGCAAGCAGTTTCTGGTGCGATGCCACAGACGTGAGCACCCCAGCAGACCCTTGCACGTGGAGCAGCATCCGCCCAGGCAAGTCAGAGGGCGACTGCTCTTATACAGTAATAAATCGACCAGCAGTTATACCAAATTCACACATCGCGGCATTAATGCAACTTTATTCGGGGTATTTTGATGAGACATGCAAAGAGGTTACCGACAACGAAACTATTCCCTTCATATTCATTTTACAAATCGAAAAGACAATTCTCGTAAGAATGTTCTGCGACATTGTAGTTTTTGTAGCAGCATACATATTCCCCACAGAGTTTTTGGGGAGTGATGCTGGAGTGACAGTCCTGGTCAGATAGGAACCTGGGTCGTTCCGGTTACGTAGACACCACTATTGTGGGAACGACACCAATGGTACATTAAGTTAAGTGAACCTCCCGTCTTTAACTGTTATTCCCGATTGACACAAATCGTCTTCTTGGAGTATAAACCGGCTAACTACCTTAAGAAATTTTACAGAGATTTGTTGATTATAAAGCAACATTCTGCTAGAAAATATGAGTTATTGTGGTCTTGTTCGAAGCTTTTAATAAAAGCGGCAGTGCTTCAGCACTGATGAAAATTTGCAACACTGTTGCAACTGCTGAAGTGATACCACATTGCTAGAATTTTACATCCAACGTGATACGTGATAGGCGGAGTACTGCGGTTGTGATTGCCACTCGAACAGCCCTGTATTTATTTTATTTTTATATTGGGTTTGATTTCTAGGCAACAAATAAAAATTATTAGTAGTTGTTGGTCTGAGCTGTAAATTTTCTTTGGCGGTAGTTAGCACATTTACATTCCAATGCGACGAGATATATGCATTTATGAATTCAGCTACAGAACATAAATAGTTGAAATGAAAAAGAAGCCAGATTATTTGCAAAGAAATATTTTTTATATACAGATTTCAAGAAAGACTTCAATAGCAATATTCAAAACTCTAGATATTCGCTGCATTTACTTTTTACATCCATCATGGTTCAATGCACAAAATATTGTTTATAGTAATAGTTATTTAATGAAAACGTATTACGATATTAAGATCCAAGTATAGGAGTGTTCGCTATGCAACTGCCAGCCTCCGAATTTGCAACTTCCCCTCCAAAGGAAATGTCAAAACTCTACTCTCTCCTTGCAAATTTTACTGGGTTTTTGGCTAAACGAACACGATTTGGTAACAATTGGTACCAACTTGTACAAATTTTGTGCATAGCGAACGCTCCTTATATGTACATATTCTGCGTGTGAATAACTAAAGATACATATATTATATTATGTTTTTATATAAGTCCTTAAATATATACGTATATGTTTTTTTTTTAACAGTAAGATTATTAACTAGTTTTGCACACAAGCACTGTTCAAGCGAGTAAGAGCTATCAAGAATTTTAAAGGACTTGCCAACTTAATATACACAAAATTTTCAGGCAAATGCTGTCTACAATGGAAGCCCTTGGAACTACCAGTACATGAATGCTAAATTATATAATAAAATATATGTATCCAGTAGTCTAGTTTAGGGCAATTTTATATCATTTTTTTTTCACATTTTATTATTTGCGCATTTTCATGGTGTATGTGCAATGCTCTTGGTACATCGTTATTTCATTATGTTTATCACTAGTCCAAATCAGTATTGTATATAATTTGTATTATTTCTGAGTGTTTAATTCATGAAATGCGTATGGAAATCAACAAAAAAATCGAAATAAACACATTGTTAAGAAATAATTACAATAAGTAACCATATTTTTCCTTCATTCCGTTATATATTCGTGTATATGTATGTATGTATTGTGTTTACGTTAGAATTGAATTCTCCATCCAGTATTTTGTTTTATATTTAGTATTATAATTTACGCCTACGAGTTTTATTTTCAATAAGCATCTTGAAAGAACAGCGTGCTTTATTTCAACTTATGGTCCAAATAAAAACTTTCGTTTTTGCTCTTCAATGTAGTCATGAGTGGACAATTGTATGGCACGCTGAAGCATTTCGGATTCGCTTAGTTGTCCAAAACCTGCAAATATACAGTTGAAAGTTTACAAAC